CTGGCCCATGCATAGGTTGGGGGATTTCAGGAACTTCACCTAATCTCCTTGGATTTCAGTTTCCTTATCTGTCCAGCTAGAAAGCTAACTCCTTCCCCTGACTTCTGTCTCCTTAGCAGAGTTTGCACGTAAAGGTTTAAGAATTCCGGTTCTCAGCCTATGTGACCTGTGGTTTTCTTGAATGTCACAATGAGACGATTTTGAGCAGGGCAGTATCTTGATATGCAGGCTGGAAGGAAAGAAGGCAGGGTGAGGCTCCAGCTACGCACGACTCCTCATAGCTCACCTCATCTTTACCCTGATAAAAACCACCTGAAGTAACAGGAATGCTCAAGCTTGAGCACGTGGGATTTCCCCTGAATTTCCAACTAGATATATTTCCTTGTTGTGAAACTGCTTAAGTATATGCCCAGGGATAGTTTTTAATCTTCCTAAATATAACCCTACCCAAAGCATGTAGAGAACTTCGAGTAGTAATGATTTTGTGTTTTTATTAGTGTGAGGTAGGAAAGGTGCCAAAAACGTACAGGAAACAGAGTCCCTGTGGAATTCTTTAACAAAGCAGAACTCACTTAGGTGCTGAGATGATCATTGTGTTCCTGTTCAGACAGGAAAACCACAGAACTTAGACAGGAGCTAAGGATGGGGACCTTTTCTTGGTCCTCATTTCCACAAAGGATTTTCAAAATAACTAAATTGGTATTTACTGCACTTAAAAGAGAAGCCTCCCTTTTGGTTTTGATATATTCCACATCCTTCATTTTGTGAGTTTGGTCTGCTTGCTACAGAAGTCTCATTGTAAGCTGTTCTCGCTGTGGATGGCCCATGTTAGTCAGTGGACACAGTGCTAGAAAACCTCCTTTCTTCTCTTTCTATTAACACTATATAGAATGCAACCTCAGTGGCCTTTTACTGAACAAGTGTCTGTGGAGGCCAAGCCCTGTGCCAAGTGGTGGGGATAAAAAGATGAACAAAACAGGCCTGGCCACAGACTCATCAGGATAGAGGTGCCAGTCCTGTTACCATGACAACACATGGCCACATGGGCCAACGTGGACTACAGGGAAGAAAGTACTGGGCACCAGCAGGCAAGAACAACTTCCCCAAGGATGGGGTGTGCAGCTGAGGTCCGAAAGCTGAGTGGCATCTCACTGGGCAGAGGGAGTAGCAGGGGCAGGAGAGCAGACAGCATGCTCAGACTGCTTGAGATGGGGTAAGTTCCAAGAAGCATGCTGACCACGCAGAAGCCCAGGAGAAATAGAAGCTAGACCACATAGGACCTTGGAGGTCACGTACTGTCATCTGGTGTTTCCTACTTAGGAAGCGAATTTTGTGGATGTTGATGCTTTCAATATAGAGAGGTGAGGACAATAGGTCTCCTTCCTCACTGCCTCAACACTTGGAGGTTCCTTTCAGCCTCACATTCCAAAGTTGATTAGTAAGCAACAATGAAAACACCTGTACATCCTGTTCTGTAAGGCTAATGAAGTCCTTCCTTCTATTCTTTTAGTTTCTCCAACTGTATCTTTCATGGAAAGTTTAAGCAATTGTGACACTCTACTTGAAGAAGCCTTGAGCTCACCTAAGGGTCTAATTTAAGCAGTTAGAATCCTATGAGCTAGAAACAAGCACTAGGAGGCACTGTGAAGGGTGCAAGCTCCCCATCTCTGCAATCCACTGTGCTGATGCAAGAGTAGGAATGCCTCCTGCTACTTCTAGCCAGTATATGCTCATTTAAAAAAAACAGTTTCACTGATGAAATATTATGTTTTGCTAACTCATGAAGTTCCCTGTGTTGATCGGAGATAAACAAGGGAATGTACCTGAGCAAGCCATCTCTGGATCGTAGCCTTTTGATGACATTCTTACAACCTTCTCCACAGGATGTCATTTAATCCACATCTTAGGGTATGGATTAAAAACACTCATAAATCACAGACTGTCTATGCTGGCGCATCTAAAAGGAAATTATGACAATGCAACCATCACATCCGGTGATCTTTATCTTTTTTATTTTTTGCTTTTTATCATAGTTTATTCTTATAAATGACACAGTTTATTCTTATAAATGATTGACATGGAAGATTCACATGGATGATAATGAAATTAGATTGTAATGTGCAACTTTTTTATTATATATGTTTTCTATTTTGTTTGAGGAATACAACTTCACGCATTTAATATATAAGATTTGGGAACCTGATGATTCTTCCCCCCCAATTCCATCTCACCCATACTCCTGCCTTTCTTCCTCCTCCCTATCTTAAGAACAGATAAGCTATTGAAAGTTGTTGTTGTTGTTGTTGTTTTGTTTTGCTCTCTGAGCACCAAAAAGGAAACCTGTTAAAGTGAAATGAACACTAGACAGGCAGAGTGGATAGTGAGAGAGACAGTCAGAGAGAAAGGTCTTCCTTTGCCGTTGGTTCACCCTCCAGTGGCTGCCGCGGCCAGCGCACCGCGCTGATCTGAAGGCAGGAGCCAGGTGCTTCTCCTGGTCTCCCATGGGGTGCAGGGCCCAAGCACTTGGGCCATCCTCCACTGCACTCCCGGGCCATAGCAGAGAGCTGGCCTGGAAGAGGAGCAACTGGGACAGAATCCGGCGCCCCGACCAGGACTAGAACCCGGTGTGCCGGCGCCGCTAGGCGGAGGATTAGCCTATTGAGCCGCGGTGCCGGCTATTGAAAGGTTTTTGTTGTTGTTGTTTGTGTTCTTTTTGTTTTAAAGATTTGTTTTATTTATTTGAAAGACAGAGTTAGAGAGAGAGAGAGGCAGATCTTCCATCTGCTAATTCACTCCCCAAATGACTGCAACAGCTGGGGTTGGGTCAGGCTAACAGCAGGAGCCTGGAACTCCTTCTGGGTCTCCCAAGTGGGTGGAAGGGGCCGAAGCATTTGGGCAATCTTCTACTGTTTTCCTACATGCATTAGCAGAGAGCTGCATTGGAAGTGGAACAGTAGGAACTCAAATGTGCTCATATGGGATGCCAGCAAGTGGTACCTTAACCCACTGTGCCACAATGCCAGCCCAAGCTATTGAAGTTTTTAAACAGAATAGAAAATAAGAAGGCAAGACTTGAGGAGAGAATAGAGCATGTAGAAACTGTTGCACAAGAGGACAGTGTTGATTCACCACTTGAATAAAGTAGAAGCAGTTATATGACAGGAGGTAGATGGAGACCTGAGACATTAGGTAAGTGACCAGGACTTGGTGATGGATTAGAAATGAGAATAATAAGAAGGTGTTAGGATGGCATTTTAGGACCTGGATATTCAAGGAGCTTTTATGCAGTGTTCATGATCAGAAAAGAAAAAAGAATCACATGACATCAATATGCATTGTTTCAATGCAACTTAAAGATACACTGTAATACTCTGCACTGATTTTAAAATGAGATGTAAAAAGTGAGATGTATATGTTACAACATGATGGAAGGATGTCCTCAGTTTTTAAAATTTGTTGCAGAAATTGTACTTCATGTTTCCTTTTAATAAAATAGTAATGATTATACTTTGGGCTTACTAGAAAGTATCTGGAAGAGGGGCTAGCACTGTGGCATAGTGGGTAAAGCCGCCACCTGCAGTGCTGGCGCCTCCTATGGGCACTCGTTTGAGTCCCAGCTGCTCCACTTCCAATCCAGCTCTCTGCTGTGCCCTGGGAAAGCAGTATAAGATGGCCCAAGTCCTTGAGCCCCTACACCCATGTGGGAAACCTGGAGGAAGCTCCTGGCTTCAAATCAGCACAGCTCTGGCTGTTGCAGCCAATTGGGGAGTGAACCAGCAAATGGAAGATCTATCTCTCTCTCTCTCCCTCTCTCTCTCTCTGCCTCTCCCTCTCCCTCTCCCTCTCCCTCTCCCTCTCCCTCTCCCTCTCCCTCTCCCTCTCCCTCTCCCTCTCCCTCTGTGTGACTCTGACTTTCAAATAAATGAATAAATCTTTTTTAAAAAAAAAATGTATCCGGAAGAATAAATTCTGAACAGGAAACATTGGAGATTACAGGGACATTTGCAGTCTACATTTGACATTTTTGTACTCTGGACTTTGTACAGTTTTCGTGTGTCCTTTCGCAACCAGAGAAAGCAGACCTTGCAGAGAATGAGCAAACTACACTGTTTTTATCATGAAAACTTCTGATCATTCTATCCCCAAGTGATTGCTTCCTCTTCTGAACACACAGGCTGCATTCATTACAGAATGTTAGATCTGAAAGGGGTTTTAGAGATCATTTTAGTTCAACATACTCGTTTTACAGAACAGGAAACAGATCCCATGAGGTTAATGATTTGGCCAAAGTCACAGAACCCTAGATTAATAGGCAATGCCCAAGAACCTGCTGTTGGGAATTCTTTATTCTACAAGGTATGTCTCTTCTACCACTCACGGTATTTGAGAATAAGTTGGCTTTTATTGAATTGTCAAGTAAAGAAATTCACTGAAACTCAGAAAGTCGGTGTCCAGTATCAGTGTAAAACACTCATTAAAACAATCAAAAGCCTTTACTTAGAATTCAGATCCAAGATACAAGACTAAAGTTTCAGGAGGAGGAAGACACCTACACTAAGTTTGCGCTCACACAGAACTTCTATGATTCATATTCCCTCCCTCCCTCTCTCCCTCCTTCTCTCTCTCTCTCCCTCCTTCTCTCTCTCTCTCTCTCTATAACACACACACACACACACACCTGTAAGAATAGGTTAGGGGTACTTGCCTAACTCGCCATACACTGTGGAAGTGAACTGTGGATTTACAGGATTGTCAGTGGGTATCCTTCTCACTGCAGCAGTACACAAATATCCTGAAATTCCTGAAGACAGTGACGTCACTGTGCAGGGCGTACTATTGATGTATTGATCATTTCCATGATTTCCCAGAGCTGTCTTCTGAATTCTCTTCTTTTTTTTTTTTTTTTTTTTTTTTTGACAGGCAGAGTGGACAGTGAGAGAGAGAGAGAGGAAGGTCTTCCTTTGCCGTTGGTTCACCCTCCAATGGCCGCTGCGGCCGGCACGCTGTGGCCAGCGTACCGCGCTGATCCGATGGCAGGAGCCAGGTACTTCTCCTGGTCTCCCATGGGGTGCAGGGCCCAATTACTTGGGCCATCCTCCACTGCACTCCCTGGCCACAGCAGAGAGCTGGCCTGGAAGAGGGGCAACCGGGACAGAATCCGGTGCCCCGACCGGGACTAGAACCCGGTGTGCCAGCGCCACAAGGCGGAGGATTAGCCTAGTGAGCCACGGCGCCGGCCTGAATTCTCTTCTACAGCTCCCACAGCTCTTATCACTCAGAAACACAGCCAACTGGCCTGGTTGTGTGTCCAGGGCAGTGTCTCTGATTGTCCTCCCTCATATTGTGGGACCCAACCAGATAGATACTTCTGGATCACTGCTTACTGAGAGAAACCTCGTCCTATGGCAGAAATGAGGGCTGTGGGCTTCCATGCTGGGAGACCCACAGGTAGCAAGGGAGGCTGGGAGTGGCCCTAGGCTGGTAAGGGCTGTGTTTGGCTCTCTCACCTCTGGCACCTCGTTCTTTTCTCCTCCTCCCCCAAAGCTAATCAGAAAGAGCACTTTTGTGTCTGCCCAGCTGTACTTGGCATCTGGTGTTCATCACCTAAATGAGTTTCTGTCTTTCGGAAACTATTCTCTCCCTGCCTCCCATTTTGCGAATTTGGGGAGCTTGTTTCCAGTGTTTTATTAATTTATTTCAACTGAACATTTTCCATACCCTAAACGTTCCCATTTGTTAAGTTACCATCTGTCTGATTTTTTCAGACCCTGTCTACCCACATGCGTTTAAATGTTTCTATCAAGTTTAGTTTTAAATTCTTTAAAACAACTTTTTTCTTCTATCACTAGTCTTGCACAGATTTACAGTGCTATAAGTCTTTAAGGTATCTGTATCATGCATTTTTTTTTTTCAAGATTTATTTTATTTGAAAGAGCTGGAGAAGAAAAGCAAGCAAGTGAGAGTGCTTCCATCTGCTGGTTCACTCCTCAAGTGGCCACAACAACCAGGACTTCAGCCAGCCAGGCCAAAGCCAGGCGCTTCATCCAGATCTGCCACATGGGTGGCAGGGCCCAAACACTTGGGCCACCCTCTGCTTCTTTTTCCCAGGCCATCAAAAGGGAGCTGGGTTGGAAGTGGAGCAGCTGGGACACAAACCAATGCCCATATGGGAGATGATGTCACAGGCAGCAACTTTACCCCCTACGTCACAACAACATCCCTTGTTTCGTGCATTTTTGTCATAATGTTTGAGAGACAAAAACAGCTGAGTGGCAGAACTTTGACATGACTTCCAATCTTATTAAGCAAGCTAGTATTTTTATATAACAAAATAAGGATAAATTTAAATAACTGATCATTATTCTCCCCTTGGTCAGCTGTTAAGTATGACTTTCAGTAAGATTACATTGTGCTTTTCACAAACACAGAACTTTTCTTCTCAATGTGCTTCTTGACTACTAACTTCATGTAGAAGCTGAGTGTGGTCAAGGGGAAAGTGAATGAGAGTAGCCAGGGGGCCTTCGTTGCAAGTGGAGCAGAAAGCAATGTTATTGAACCACAACTCAACCAACCTCAGAACCAGAAAATTCCAAAACAACAGTAGAAAATCCCAAGATGACAAGATTGCTGCACTCTGAAGGGGCCACTAAGTGAGTGGGTATCTTCTCTGTGTAATCCGGCACTGGACTCTGTGTACACACCTTCAGGAGTGCCTGGACTGGTTCTTTTCAGCTAAATAATCAAACTGATAGTAATCTTGGTATGAGATGTAGTGACTGAACTCTAGCAAAATGGGAAACATGTTGGACAGACAAGATAGACTGTCTGAATTAGTCTGCCTGAAACCCAAGGACTAATGCTCCCTGTGAATTGACCCTTCCTATCTGACCCATTATCAGATTTGCCACAAGGGTAGTGATTGTATTCTCTCCCAAAGGGATGTGGCAATGCACTTTTATGGCAACACTGTGGCACTCTGACAGTTTACATGCCTTTACATTATGACATTGTGGTTAATAGCAACAATAACTTGCATTGGACATGGAAATTTCCATGAAAGAGTTAGAATGTGTCTATGTTTGTAATTAAAGGCTAAACCAAAAGGAGTTACTTATGTTCCTTAATACCTATAATCAACAAATATGTGAGTTTCATCTAATTTTTTTGCTGCATAATGTTTTGACAGTTAAAAAAGGCAATAAATTAATCAGTTGGCCCACAATCAAAAGAACCAAAGTAACATTCCTGCTAGAAATTCCCATGTGAGACTAATTAAGAAATGTGCATTACTGATAAGAGATGTGCAGGGAGCCAAATGATAAGAGTGTGCTGTGTCTTTAAATTTGAAGATATTTTATAGTTGTTCTTGAAGTTTCTATTTTCATTTGTTTGCTTTGGGTGGGACATGGAATAATATTTGCCTACTGTATGATACTAATCATGCATGTTTGCAAATTACCCTCCTAGGAAAAAGGCTGCAGGCAACTCTCTGGTGGTGCCTTTTCTTTTTGAGAAGTTTGCAAAGGCATGAATTTCAGCACCAAAAATCTCTGCATTCCTTTTATATTTAAGGATCAGGCCCAAGAGAAGGTATCTCCCACAGTATGAAATTTGAAGAATTAAACATTGGATTCTCTACTAATATTGCACCTCAGAAGCTACCCTTGGGTGTAGGATCAGTATTTTTCAATATAAATCATTTACAATTTAGGTTCTAGTGAAGCCTAACACTTATTCTAAATAATGTTGTTTGATAAATTTTTTTTTTTTTTGACAGGCAGAGTGGACAGTGAGAGAGAGAGACAGAGAAAGGTCTTCCTTTTGCCATTGGTTCACCCTCCAATGGCCGCCGCGGCCGGCGCGCTGCGGCCGGCACATTGCGCTGATCCGAAGGCAGGAGCCAGGTGCTTCTCCTGGTCTCCCATGGGGTGCAACCAAGGACCTGGGCCATCCTCCACTGCACTCCTGGGCTATAGCAGAGAGCTGGCCTGGAAGAGGGGCAACCAGGACAGAATCCGGCGCCCCGACCGGGACTAGAACCCGGTGTGCCGGCGCCACTAGGCGGAGGATTAGCCTAGTGAGCCGTGGCGCCGGCTGATAAATCTTAATTTGCTTATGTAAGTAGGTTTTTCTAATGTTTAGATGTTATCTTTAAATTATTTTCAGTGACCTGGAGGCAAAGTATGCTTTTATTTTCCTTAAAGAAACTAAAAGTGTAATAGTTCATATCATGTAAGGATACTTGCGAAAGTTCATGGCAAATGAAATTAAAAGATACATTTGGGGTGGGTGTTTGGTCTAGCAGTTAAAGTTACTTGTGTCCCACATCAGAGCGCCTGGGTTCCACAGCTGGCTGCAGCTCCTGACTCTAGCTTTCTGCACGTGCAGACCCTGGGAGGAAGCGGTGATGCCTAGTAATTGGGTCTCTGCTACTCCCAAGGGAGACCTATACACAGTCCCTGGCTCCTGGCTTTGTCTTCACCCCACCCCCTGGCCAGGTGGCAGCCCCTGGTGAGTGCTGGGAGTAAACTCTTCTCTCATGTGCTTGCTCTCCCTGCCTCTCAAATAAATAAATAGAAGACAAGTTTATTTTGGTGCAAAAACTTTTTGAAATCCATGCATACAAGGATCTTCAAAAAGCCCATAAAAATGAGCATTATAAAATAACTGTGTAGTTTCCAAATTTTTTTGCATCCAAATAAACCTATCTTTTAATTCCATTTTCCATGAACTGTGTAAAGTCCCCATATGCTAGAGAGAAAGTATGTTAGGCGTCCAGAACCCCTCACAATATTCTTTTCAGAAATGCAGAATTTTAATTTGCAAATAAGATCCTTAACCACTATACTTCCACCCCACACACTGGTGTTTTTGAAAGGAAAACTTTAGACAAAATAAAGTTAACAAAGTTTATTTGCCCACATAATCATTCATTAGCTGAGCAGCACTTAAAACCAGAAGAGGATCAGAGAGCCCCACTGTGTGGCACAGTGAGCTTCAGTGGGCTGAACCCAGAAGGAAGGAGCAGAAATAACTTGATCCATCCCAGCTAGGTATGGGCCTTATTTGGGCGTGGTGTGATTGTTTGGCAGTCTGTGATTGGCTGAAACTCAGTTATTTGTTCCAAGAAATATACTCTTAAATTTCCATTTATTTACATACAGTCAAGCACTGCAAATCAGTGTGATAGTCTCCCTCAGACTCCATGGACGATGGAGTTCCCTGTAGGAGAACAGGCCCAAAAAATTGCTATTCCCTAGTGACCTCACAGCAGTCATAGCTCACGAGTTTGTGGTGATGCTGGTGTAGAGAGACCTGCTCACTGCCAGTCATATAAAAATATAGGTCATACAATTTTTTACAGTACATGCTACTTGATAATGATATTAACATAATAATATTACTGAGTTTATGTGTTTACTACAGTATATTTTATCATTATTTCGGAGGGAACTCCATCTACTTATAAAGAAGTGCTTACCAGGAAACAGTGTACTGCATGCTTATATATGTTCTGTTTATCACAAGTCTTGATTGCACCATTTTCTCCTGTGCTTCATTTAATCTGGTGGTGTTTTGTTCCTCATGGCTCCAGGAACAGCAGGCTATGCCATATTTGTCTGCCATATACCTGGGTGTGCTGCAGACTACGCCATCTAGATTTGTGTAAGCAAACTGTATGTGATGTTTGCACAAAGTTGAAATCACTTGACACAGTGCATAAGAACACTAAGTTAGATTGCAGTTTGCTATGTAGGAACTCAAAGTATGGAGAGGGCCTCAGGCCACTGGCTTCCTGCTGACTCAACTTTAATAGCTTGTACAAGCATTCATCTACACGCTGCGCATTGTGCTCTGTATGGCTTATGATATCTACTGGGAAAGAGGAACCTCAAATAATCTTTAGATAGAAATGAAATTTAAATTGTTATGGAACGAAGGGGAATTTATCAAAGGGGTATCTTTCAGCCTCTATGAGATCTCACTTAAATGGGGAGGAGAGAGAGAAGGTAGGGAAAGTTTTGCAGAGAAAGTGATGATGCTAAGAGTAGTAGAAGAAGGAAAAGTTGTCTAGGGAAAGAGGTGGGGAAAATTGGCTGTGTATATTTAATGTAAAACAAAAAAAATAGGGTCATGATTCTGTGGGGCCAAGAAACATGATACCCAGTTTAAGAGGTGTTAGCAAGTGCCTGAGAGCCTGTCTCAGACTCTGGCCATGTTGTCTTTAAGAAATTGTTTCAATAGAAGCATCTAGAATTTCTGCTCAAATTTGTGACTCATATGAACTGCTACCCTATAGGAAGCCCTCCTATGGCTCCCTTTGGGCCATATCTGGAGCTGTCATCATGGCAGGCCAGATTCTGTCTGTTCCCAGAAGCTGTGACTGGGTTCTTCCCAGGCGTTGGCTAAGGCCTGCCAAGTGCAGGCAGTGAGGTTCAAGCAACCCTAACCTCCTGCCTGGTTCGCACCCACTAATTTGTCTACATCTGTATCAATCTTTTCCTCATTCCCTCCATACCCAGAGACAGAGTTCCTTTTCCTGTTCAGCGTCAGCCTTTTCCTGTGGGCTCTTTTACTTTCATCTTCTCTCCTTTGGAATGTTGCTTCACCAATTAATCTCTATCCTGAGGTGGAATTTTTAAAAATTAAAATAC